TCCTATGGAATGAGAATGCTCCTAATCGATTAATTAGCCCAATACAAAATAATGCAAATTCTAAACCGAGCGACATTTCCGGCCATAACTGCTTTAATTAGTTGAGGAAAGCCTGAAGCGTAAATCCTGCGCTTGAATACCAAGAAAACATGCAACAGGTGTGACTCACCAGTCTGGCGCCAGCGATAGAAGCGTACAGTGTGAGAAACCTACATCTGCTGGAATCCCGTTAGGGACACGCAGGCACGTCGGAGTGCCGCCCTTTGTGTGACGGTGTGCCTGTGGGACGTTTGCACATGCTGAAATGAATTTCGTGGAATCGTAATATGTTCGGATCTCTTTTTGAAGCTGGACAACCTCTTGATTTACTCCCAACAGGCCTATTAAATGGAAAAGAATCGCAATATGTTCGGATCTCTTTTTGAAGCTGGACAACCTCTTGATTTACTCCCAACAGGCCTATTAAATGGAAAAACTGAAATTCAATGTTTCGTGAGGTCTTTTTCTTTTAGTAATAAAATCATAGCAAACAAGAGAAATTCGAAGAAACGAGAGGGGAAGGTAAATCAGAAAAAAAAGGAAGGAAAGCATAAAGTCATAAAATGAAACTGGTGGATAATGATGATAAACAAGTTAGTAAACATCAGATTTATCTTTTAAAAAATTCGAAGAGAAGTGAAAAGGATAATTTCCTTTCTCTTGAACCCCCATCCCCATTCAAAAGTGCTGAGGTCTGAGAACAGGCCCAAGAGTGTCTCAAGTTGTCTCCGATCCTCGGCCACTAATGTTGAGCAGACGGAATGCTGAGGTTCGAGAATCACAGCGTGACAACTTAATTGGTCGGCTGATGGTCGTCGTGGACTGGGCGACTCGATTGGGAGTGGTTCGGAGGTCATGGCGCTGTTGTCGCCTAACAACTGGATTAGCGATGTCTCTGCCAGCTATAGCTGTTCGATCCGAGAGGCCCTCCCAGACCCTGGCAATCCGCATAATCAGGACGCAGACAAACTTATCATTCACCTGAGTTTAACTGTGAGATATGTATATGCGGTCTGAAAGTTATCCGCTTTGCACAGGAATTTTCATCCTTTCCCCTGTAAAAAAAAAAAAAACTTTGTATCAGCAGTTTTTATTCGCAATCCAGTTCTTTCGATCACTGTTCAGAGTTCATGGTCATAAGTGAAAGTGGGGCGCTCAACGCCCTCTTGAATTTGGTTTTTTTTTTTAAATAGAAATTGCGTAACAGGAACTTTTGAATGAAGTCGCATGACTCGGTATTCGTGGAGGTGCTAGTGCAGATGCAGGTCGCTGAAATCGGTCAAGCTGTTGAAACAATTGGAATTTTGGTGCTAATGCAGCAGTTAAATATTGATATCTCATCAAGCCATTGAGTATCAATCTCAAAATTGGTATCGTTAGTAGTGGCAGACCATGCATGCATTTTCGAATAAAATACTAGAACAAAGAATTGGAGAGGTGGTAAGTGTAGTTATTGGCCACTGAACTAGGTCAAACAGTTTGGTTAAGTGGAAGTTAGAATCCTTCCCTAAATGGATCCATATAGTTTGTCCTTTCTTTACTGGACCAGTGCATGTGCGTTCCTGGAATCCCGATGCTTTGGGATTCCCTTTTGGTTACGTAATAGATCCGGATTCGGCGAATTGGTGGTGATACTGATATTCGTAATGTTCAACACCAGTTGCATGACAGGAGCACTCATTCAATAAAGTTCCTTTCTATTGTCTTGAGAACTAGCAGATTGGTTTATGCAGGATGGGAAGTCATTAGAGAGGAGTAACCAATGTTCTAAAATGGTCATCTCATTGACCAACGGAATAAAAGGGAAAGGAATAATTGTCATGAACATAGAGCATAGCCGAAGCAGCAAATGAGCGATCTCGAAAACATTCAACCTCTGTTCAAGGAGGTTTTGGAAGGTTTCATGTTCTCGTTTGAGCAGCTATTGGACGCTCAGATAAGGTGCCGTTTGATCACCAATCTTATTTTCTTCATGACTTTTCTAGACATCAGCATACTCTGTCCCGAATAATTTTGGAGCCTTATTCAATTTGTAGCTTCTCCTAATTAGTTCAGGCTATCGCTGTGCACTTTTGAGGGCTGACTAAGACATCAAATGGGCACATACGCGCAAAGTTGAATCAAAATCCATCAATTCACTTTGGAGATGCAGCAGCTTATTCTAAGTAAGGTTGCGGCGAACCATTCCCGCCGGCTGCACTCGGCGCGTGCACAGCCAGCCAGAGAGGAAACTCATCGTTCGTTCCCCCGTTGCAGGAGAATGCGAAAGGTACAGCCTTGGTAGAAAGGTAGAGTCTTGGATTTAGACCAATGTCACGTGCCTGTTCAGAGAATGTCGGCGGGCACTTCGAGCACATCATCCGAGTGTCAAGCAGGAAAGATTACTGCAGCTATCTTGGTCATGCACATCATGTCAACCATCCTGTATGAGGCTCAATACTGAAATTGGACTAATGCGCCAGTACAGTTCTGGCAGCACTCCTTTACTGTCGTCACGCTCTGAATCACCTGTACTTCAAGAACCAGTGAATGGATATTGTTATGACTTTGCACGCATGTGCTCATTTGAAGCATTAGTCAGTCAACAAAGGCGCACAGCGATAGCTTGAACAAATTTTTTGGGACAGAGTGTTTAACGTTAAATAAAATGCTTTCTTTGAGATCTGTATTCGTCGTTCGGGGCAGCAGGTTCAAACAACAAACTAGGTTCGCTTAACCGAAGCGAGATGACACCTAATTCGTCACTATAGTGAGTCAATACCTGATACAGCAGGAATTGGCAACTGGAATTGGTCTTCATTACTTTTCACATTAAACCTATTCTATTGTTAATGAAGTGCTCTTTCCAAAGGAACTATTATTCTCCAGTCGGAAATATTTTGAATGAATGAGGAGGGTAACCTGGTGGGATCGTATTTTATTTTTAGGTGCCCATGAGAATGTTTAAGATACAGGATGTTCCCAAAATACGTTGACAAATTAAAATACAAAATTTTTCATGGAAAAAAATTCAAAGCAAGGACTTCCATGGAATCATGAGCCTCGCTGAGGTACATGTGCATGATATGAGTGGGATATTATTAATATCTTTCAGTTCCTGATAGAATTTACTACAACAGGAAACTGCTTTAAACTTGAAGTTTTGACTCCCATTACCTCTGTATTCCCTCAAGGGCTGCTAACTTTTTCCCCTATCATTGTGCTTCATGGGCGTAAATCATAACCTATGACAGAAACCCTTTATGGATTAGTACCTCAGCAGGGCCGCATTAAGAGGTTGCAGGGCCTTGGGCAAGTGGATTCTTGGAGCTACCCCCCCCTCCCCCCCCACACTACTTCCCACTTTACGCAAATACCTACTGTAACGTTTTTCATTTCCTTCGATGGCCCCTTGGAAGAGTGGGGCTCAGGGCAACAGCCCTCTTTGCCCCCCCCCCCTTAATCTGGCCCTGACTTTATGATAAAACGTATCAGGTCAAGGATTAATGGATTAATGTTGATTATATTTAACCTGTGACAGCAAATGCTAAATTTGATTTTCAAAGGCTCATGAAAAGCGAAGCCCTAGACTGAAAGAAACTTCATAACTGCCCTTCCAGGCTGTCTGGATGCTCCAAATAGAAACCTCAGCCCATCGATTACTTACTATATAATCAATTTTGGCCTTAAGAAATCCCTCTGGCAAAAAATGAAGCATTTTCGTAGTAAAAACAGCGTCTATCTGAATGTTTCCAGAAAAAATAAGCGCATTGAAGCTTGCGCGCTTGGCTCCCCCCAACTCATTTTTTTTTGCTTCCTGCAGCCAGATGTCTCCAACTTAATGCACCCAGCGAATAGACGATGACCTCAAGTTTTCCTCCCACGCACAAGCGACAGAATTCTAGGTTTCATTCGTCCTTCGGTTGCAAGTAGGACTTCGCGCGTTATTCTTCCATTTTATGCGGTGCTGATAAGACCCCAGTTAGAATATTGCATACAGTTTTGGAGGCCTACAAATGAGGGCGATTTGTTGGCGCTCGAGGGGGTACAAAGGAGGGTTACAAGAATGATTAAGGAGGTTAGGGGACTTCAGTACTTCAGTACTAGAAGCGTTTAGAAGTGCTGGGACATTACTCGCTCGAGAGAAGCTTAAGGAGGGGTGATCTCATCCAGGCTTTCAGGATAATTAAAGGAATAGATAATGGCGAGTGTGGTAGGTTTTTCCAGTTCGATGGAAGCAAGCGAACGAGAGGTAATCAACTAAAGTTGCGTAAACCGCAGGTGCGACTCAGGTCGAGACAGGAATTCTTTACTTGGTGTGGTGAACGCGTGGAATGCGTTAGATCACGAAGTAGTGGCTGCGTGTGACTATCTTTAAGAAGAAACTGGATGCTTTTATGGACATGCAGAAAGGTGGGCAATATTGAAGATTGGGGTTAGGCAGTAAGCAACTAGGATAGGCTAAAAAAAAATCTCCAAAACATAAAAATATTTAGCTTTAAGAGGATTAGGCCTACTCAAAAATTAAGAAACGCTTGACCTTGACACATGATCTCGAAATAGGTGTAATTGTCTCTTGATGTCACTAACTACCTTGAACCTTGAATCTCCATCGTCACTTCTAATGCCTAGCCACAGAATTTTCTATTGTGAAACATAGGATGTCGCATCGCAGGTTGAGATATCTAGGATCGAATCAGACTATTTTAACTGAAGAAAATTCTGAGCCACGTTGACCATTCCTCTTTCCCTTACTTGCCTCATGCTTCACACTGAATTCATGACTTCTGTACATTTATTCACCATCAGATATCAGCAAATGTATGTTCCCATGGAAGGGCGATTATTAGTTCATGCATCACTTATTCACATTAGACCGTAAGCTCTTGAATGACTCACGATGGCTGAATGTGAGCACCTGCATATGTCCCCAGGGAAAAAATGAGCAGGTGGGGCCCTCCTTTTCCAAGAAAATGGATAGAGATACTGCTAAGGTTGTGCAGGTGGCTCGATTCCTATGCGAAATTTCCGCCTCAAGTCAGGGATATATAACTGAAGTCACGGAGCATTGACCTCAGATCACTTCTTACCTACAAAGGTTTTCACAGATTCCTGGAAATATGAAGAGCGGATTCCCTATCACGACCTGGCTCCTCTTTCTCTTCACTGTTGGTAGTCGCGGGTTGAACCTTTGTCCGCCATATGACGAAATTTTGCCGTGTGGTTGCTATCCTCACGCGATTGCAAGCATAGATTTCCTTTGTTATGATGGAACAGAGTCAGAAATCCACCTCGCCTTCAATAATGCCACCTGGGACGTCACGGAATTACGGTGAGTCTCTTGACATATACACAAGCTACTAATATATAAATCTACAAAAATAATCAGGACAGATACCGGCATTCTGTATAAGCGTGCTGTTTGTAGCATAGTCGTTGGACAGTCCAAACATTTTTAATTATTAGAATTAACACCTCGTTTTGCTCGAAGGAATCCTCCATTATAGCTTGTCTTTGCGGTAAGGATTGCACTCGAGGTATCAAGGTTCCACTAATCAAACTTCAGGGACTAAGGTCTCTCTTGATGAACTATGAGAGAATTTTAAAATTCGAAGTTATATGGGGTGCATTACATATTTAAATGGAAAGCATATTGCTCACATTTATGCTATATGCTCTACATGTCCACCATTGTTATTGATGAACATTTTCTAAGACCTTTGGCGCAATATGAGAGCAGAACATTAAAGCAAAATTAATAATTATTCTCTTGTTTCCTCTTTAATAATCTACTCCCAACTTACTCCTGCTTTGGTTTTCGAAATATTTCCATGGACGCCACCAAGGTAAATCGAAGACGCTCTAGCTCTCAGGTAAGGAAGACCCAAAGGAACAATGATAAGCTGTGATGAAGTCATCTTTATCCACGCTGAGGGTCCCGTTCTTCCTACTTTGCATTGAGATGCCTGGGTGTTCGGTCCCAAGCGCCTCGAATAGGAGCAGAAATGGGCTCCATTTATTCAAGGTTTCCTTATATTCGAAAAAGACGTGATCATTGAGTCTTACGTTGGAAAGCGCTGGTCATGGAGGCCATGGATTGAAATAAGCTTTGAAATGCTCTTCTTGTTCGGGCTTAGGCATTGATTTTCATTGCAGTATTTTTTTTTATGGATTGCACTTAGCTTTTAAGTGCTTTTTTTGTTCCGGTCTAGGCCTTGTTGATCTTATTCATTGCAGTTTTAATGAGATTTATTTTCTTGTGGCAGTTGAGTGTTAAACATTTATTCATGGATTGGATAGTATCTGTAGTGTAGCCTTATAATTTGTCAAATGTTTTGTTGCTTGCTGCTTGTTACTTTTGCTATTTTATTTGATCTGAATAATTTTTTCAATTTCACTGTGATAGATGATCTGATGAACATCTATCATCTATTGACCATGGAATATTTCTGAGGCAGGTGTAAACTATGGAGTAAGAGGAAATGTACTTTAAAAGTTTGTAAATACTGAAGAACAGGCAACATATAATTACTAACAGTGCTTGCAAATTGATCCATTAACAACTGAGTGTGGGGCACCTTAGAGTTCAGTGTAGTACCAGGAATGGAAAGAAAGAAGAAAAGTAGTGCAAGGTTGTATTGCATCATTTAGATGTCCCTAGGGCATCAAAGTGTTACAAATCCATTTCACTCCTCATTAGATAGCATGGTGCTCCTATTTACATCCTACCAACTTTAATTTTTCCAACCACAAACCCAAATTTACGGTGTAAGTGTGATAAGTATTCCTATGTCCAAGCTTAGCATAAATGAAACACCGAAAGGGACTAGTTGGAAAGAACATGGAATCTACATTGTCATGATATGAAATTAGGGATTTTATTATGTGGTACTGATCATATAGGGAAGGTTGAATGAGGTGAGCCGAATTAAGTTCTAGGAGTACCAGTAAGTACTAGTAACTTCCCCATGGCCGATGACGCCGATAGAGCAACACCGATGGCCAATACCGGTGGTAGCCGATTCATCGATACAACCCTAGTCAAAACACTTTATTCTATGCCTTAAATAAGATTTTAGCATTGCCATTGGCCTGGAGCAACGAATGGAAAGAAAGAGGAGTGAGGGCTCCTAGGACCTCTTGAACCTCGTCGCCTTCGCCCTCTCCCTTGGGTCGAGAGCCGACTAGACTGAAGTGTGGGGAGACACTGTTAGACATCTATAAAGCTCTGAGGTCGTAGTTCTTTCAGGGAAGGTACTGCGCCCCCTCAAGGTTCTTCCAAAAAAACCTCACCCATCCACACGGTGGAACGAGTGTGGAATGGCACGGATATCATGAGGATGGCTCTTAGTCGCGTGTGGAATCAATGTGGAAGAGGGTGGAAAGGGTATGGAGAGAGTGTGGGGTCATTGAGGGGAATAGGTGTGCACATGGTGAGGAATGGTAAGGATGAGGAAAGGAGGGGTAAAATCAGGCGATTCATGTTGACCTTGAGATTGGATCATTTTTATTTTCTCAGTATCTTATTTTTTAATACTTTTATTTAATTTCTCATCCGAATCTGGTGATTCATTTCAACGATCCTAAAAAAATGAAGTGTAAAAAAGAGAAATACTCAGCCAAAGGAAATTTCATTACTTTAAACAAATTTCATGGTAAATTGTGGACAACCGTCACTACACTCACTTGCGTAGGGTGCAGCTCTATGCTTCTCCTGTCGCAGGATGCTTGCTAACAAGGATCGACGGAAACCTTATAGGAGTGGGATCACAAATTCAATCTGAAAGCAATGTAGAGTGCGTTTCGTTACTTGGGGTCCATGAAACCAGAGGGCCTTAGCTTCTTGTGCAGAGCGCAACAGCGCCATCTCTAAAGGCTCCCTTCCCGCGAGTGCACTGCAAAGTTCGAATGCCTAACGCAAATGCCTGCAATTTTTTAACCTTATCGGGGTGGCATCCGAAACGAGCAATATCAATATAGCTGAAGAAGCGCAGACAGTACTTTCGTCGGACTTTAGCACCCTTTACACAAAAATCCCCTTGGACCTTCTGCATGAAACGCTGGTTGATCTGCTTCGAGAATTTTTGCGATAATGTTTCTAATGATGTAACCAGACCTTAAGAAAAGTTTAAAGGAATTTTGCTCGGATGTCTCATTAAAATAAGAGTACCCACTATTACACAAAGCGATCAGCCAGAGAACCTACCGGACGAAGGACTCTGTGGGAATAGGGCTAGCCTCTGAGTCATAGGCCTGGGTTAGTCCCTGGTCTAGAACAGATTGCAGGGAATGGGCGTAGGCCACTCGCCTTTTATAGTCAACTGCGCCTCTCCGCTTTCACTGCCTTCTTCTTTCCTGTTCTTATTTTTTTTCCGATCAGGGGACAGTTAAGTCGGTTGATTTTGGTTTGTTTCCACAGGTTCGGATTAAAACACGTGATCCAATTTACCCAGTGAATTCTCTCCGTTTTTGTGGAATTTACTCTTTTTCCACTTATTTCTTATCGAACCATTGATTGCGAATAGATCTTTCGGGCACAGATTCCACAAAAGCTTAACTTCATTGCTGTCGGTTAGACGTTGTCTGCTCTCCCGAGCATCGTCAATTCCATTTTCACAGGATACTTTGCACTGGTGTGCGCACAGGGTGTCCACTTCCTATGGGAGTCGTATCAGCGTGGCCAAAAACAAGGGCTTAAGTGGTTAAAAACTAATGTGTTTACCCTTTTCCTCATAAGGAAATTCCACACCCAACCAAATCCACACGGGCGGACCACGTGCGTTTCACACGTGTGGAAAGGGTGTGAACTTTTTAGAAGGGTGGAAGCACGCTAGTAAAAGCAAAGAGGCAAAATCTTGGGGCGTAACAGACTCCTACGACAATGGAAGACACGGCAAAACCTCATGTCCCACTCTCACCCTCAGTAATGATTCTTATTCGAATCGAAAATTTTCATGAAATAAAAACTTCAACAATTTCGTTGCACCTTGTTCCAGGTTCCTAACAATGAACGGATTAAGCATTGAGAAACTTCCAGAGGGTGCGTTTGGGGATGTCTCCTTCCAAGAAATGAGGCTGCAGTATAATGAAGTCCTTGCAAGCGTCCATGCCACTGCTCTTCTCCCGTCGAAAAACCGACTGGTGAAAATTTTTTTGGACTATGGAAACGTGAATGCCTTCCCGTTCGATATCCTCCCGGAGATGACGGCCCTGAAAGAACTGAAAATGGGCTTTAATTCTTTGACCGAAGTCCCCGTCCTACGGAGCAACAGCCTGGAAATTCTCGATCTTGCCTTCAATCGGATTCGGTCCTTGAAAGAAGGAGCCTGGTCCTTGCCAAATCTCACAACTTTTCGTCTCCGTGAGAACATGTCTCCTTCATACCCCATAAATAAAAATATAACCAGAAACTCCCAGATTTCGACTTCAATAGGACAGATCTGTCTTTCTGCCTGTAATATTACAATGGAAAGAAATTGTGAGGATGTTGCGTAAGTAGGATTTCCAGTCCAAGATTGAGAATTCCCGGTCATATTTATGTCATGCTATTCTCATAGGGATCTATGGGAAAATGGCAAATATTGCTATTGCTTTATTATTTTTCTTTTATTTCTTTTTCATCCCCTCGAATTCCTTTTTCTCAACAGTTGGAAACGAACTGATGACTCTCCCAGAAGGAATAGTGTCAAACATGGAGAGATTGGTTTCCTTCGAATGTCAGATGAACCGCTTGGGGCCTACCCTCCCGAAGGACTTGCTGAATTTTGCCAGCTCCACTTTGAATTTAATTCACCTGGCTGGCAACGGCATCTCGAGGTTGGAACCAGGCGCCATCACCGGTAATGCGTGATTGTTTCCCTAACCTTATGTCGACTTCATAGTTACTTGAATGAAGAGTGAATGGATCTATAGAAAGTGCTCTTTGTCGATATCCTCCAAGGTTTGCAGGTCAATACTACCATGTGCCTGCATCAGAATTCCTTTGAACTACTGGATGAAGCTTCCTTCCGACCAATTGTGGAATCCATCCTGTCAGGAAGCGGATATTTAGACTTGAATGGTCTGTACACAAACAGGATCAATTTTACCCTGAGTGCATTTAAATGTTATTAGCAGATTTAAAAAAAAAGGTTAATGGAAAATAAATGCAAAGCAAGATAACAAAATATTCAGCTGAAGGTGAACCTAACCTAAACCCTACCAATACCACGCTTTTATTTGTTCTATGGAATACCAACGGGGGAGGGGGGGTCTTGGATGCCTACTATTCAAAGTTAATAATTTATTGATTAAAGTTTCGCGCTTTAGGCCTTATACTCTATTTACCCATCATACTAGAAGTACAAACTTTTTTCTTTCCAAACTGCTGTTAATTATATTGTACAGTATAGTAGTTTAGGCGGTGTGCCTGAAAATTTTCCGCAAACATAAAATAAAATCTAAATCATTTTTTTCATGGCTAATAAAATTGTTACACAGAAGAATTACACCTCCCTTAGCTTCCAAAATAATCCCTGTTCGAATCTATGCACTTCTGCAATCTGGAGGGCAACGATTGTATATTACTTCTGAAGTCTGTTTCTTCTTTATTTTTTTAGACATGGTCTTACATATGTTTGAGGAACTTCACCACTGATAAGGCGAATTCATCGAAGTTGTTCCTTCAACTAACCAAACTGATGATCGTATGAGTGGGTTATGTCTGGGCTATATGATAGGTGGCTGGCAACAGTCTACTGAAAATTGGCGATAACTTGCATTGTTTTGAAGGCTAGTTCCAGATGGATACAGAATTCTACAGAATACAGTAACGACATAAACTACCCTAATGCTTTCTAATTTTGACTTTGTGCTGCCATAACTGCTGCATCTGAAGCCACATGTGCTGCCGCCAAATGGTTTCAGGAGAGATCCGCTTCATGTTAACGAAGATATAGTGTAGTGGATGGTAAGTTTCCAAGAAAGCGTTCACAACCCATCCCGTTAAATGAAGGCAAATGTGATTTCCATCCGATATACATAACTTAGGATATTAGGACAGATTATGTCGTTACCGTGCAATAATTGCCCTCCAGATGACGGAAGTGCATCAATTCGAACCGTTATTATTTTATTAGCAAAGGGAAGTGCGATGTTTCTGTGTATCGTCTTTGGTAGGGATCAAAACAATGATTTAGTTTGTAGATGATATTTTGCTGAAAATTTTCGGACACCCCTAGTAACATGAGAAGAAAGACAAACATTTATGAAAAATTCTTTCAAGACTGTATTATTCCCAATCTTCTGACGCATCACATTCCACACCTGAAGCATAATAACCCATTCACATATCATAATAAGAGTACAAGTAACATATCTATTCATATTCTTAAAAAGAACTGGCAAGAACTAGTGTTAGTTCTTTAGAACTACCAAGGGGGGGGGGCGGCGGATCTGAAAAGCCCACTGCTTACATAATAGTGTTATATCCACACTTCCAATGAAGTTTAACCTGTCAATTCCTAAAAGTACCAATGCCCATCCCATATTTTCCATATCTTCCTTTAGATTACAACTTTAGAAAAAGAAAATGATAAAACTTGACTTGTAGGCCTTGCAGCCCCCCCCCCTCCCGTGGGAATTTTTAGGGTTAAAAGTAAAGTATGACGCACGAAGATTCTCATATTTTGTATTCTTCGAGAGGTATACCTGTTACGGGCCTCATTTGCTTTTCCTACGCAGGTAATCCTTTTACCTGCGATTGTGACCTTGCCTGGCTGGTGATAAATGAGGGACTACGATTTGAAGTCAATGGATTTTGTCGGGACAACGAAATTCCTCTAAGAGATCTGGATCCTGAGGAGTATATACAACTCTGCACATAACACTGTTGATCACCGAAACCAGAGAAGCCACCTGTGAAAGAAAATAAAATGTATATTTCCCATCGTTTGGTGACAAGTTTTCTCTGTCCTCCATACCCTGACAACTCTCATATCACTTGATTTGTACAGTTACACATGCGCACAATGTTCGAAGTGATGTGCATTCCAAACAGAATGGAAAGAAAATAAAATTTTTTTTGCGAAGTATGAAGTCAAAGTTGTTGCTGTGCCGGACTTGCGAAGCATTTTTATTCTCTTTGAGAAATGATCGGCAATAAACCCATGACCGGAAAGCTGATTCGGCTCTGATCTATTTACGACGTAATGATGACTTGAAACCAAATTTGAACATTTGAAATACGGAATTTAGACAACTGAGGACAATTGGTCATATTGTAATTCTCAGTTTTTTAAACGCCAACCATTCTTAAGATTGTGGGGTAACGTTCGTACGTGTGTGGAAAGTGCAGTTCGGCCTGTGCCTGATCATACCGAGGGATTGAAGCGGCATGTAGAGATGCCACTTTTTTTTTCAATTTAATTGGACAATCTATAGCTTAACATGTAGAACATACAGAAACAAAGACAAATGGTACAAAGGACAACCTTTTGGAGTTTAGCATTTCAAAATGTGATAATTCAAGGAATTTATATCTCAAAAAGTTTTAATAAACAAGTAATTGAATTATATAATAATAACATATCATGGATAACATTACATAATCGTCGGCATCCATTTTTCCCACAGTTGAAAATGATTTGAAGGCACAGTTAGAAGCGTAAACGTAGCATACTTTTCTGCTTGAAAAAACAACTTGATTTTCTCTAGAAACACCTTAATCATTGGCTTAGTTTTATTTAGGGAGCAGCAGTATTCAGGGTGGCCAAAAAAATTCCGCCCCAATTTTTAATTGCACATAACTCAAAAACTATTAAAGCCACAGGCTCGAAAAAAACCAGCAAATTAAAGCTTGTCCCTTCCTCTTTAAAATAGTCTAAAGGTTCATTGCAATACGTGCCAAGGCATGGCCGCCATGGCCATTTGAATCAACCATGACCGAAAAAAAAGTTGCAAGGTGTTGCTACTGTTACAGGCGCCTTTGTTTCTGTCCTGCTGTGAAGAGGGGAAGACACAGTTCAATGGCTGGCTACTTTTTCACCTCCCACCCTCATCACTTTGATAACCCGCGGTGGACACTTGTCATTTTTGGCCCTGAGGAAGAAAATTGAAAAAATTGAAAGTGAAATCTGACGCTCTGATGAAGCATGTACACGGCAATTTCTCGTGGAAGAGAGAGCAAACATCTTTGCTGCAGGATCGCAATGCGAAGTGAGCTAAGCGTCTCTGTTAAAAGCTTGGAGTGCTGGGGCTGGACGGCTGTTTATGCACGTTTCAGTATAAAAATGATGTGGTATTAGGAAAAAATGACTGGGGAGGGTGAAAAAGTAGCCAGCCATTGAACTGTGTCTTCCCCACTTCACAGCAGGACAGAAACAAAGGCGCCTGTAGCAGTAGCAACACCTTGCAACTTTTTTTTTCGGTCATGGTTGATTCAAATGGCCATGGCGGCCATGCCATGGCATGTATTACAATGAACCTATGGACTATTTTAAAGAGGAAGGAACAAGCTTTAATTTGCTGTTTTTTTCGAGCCTGTGGCTTCAATAGTTTTTGAGTTATGTACAATTAAAAATTGGGGCGGAATTTTTCGGGCCACCCTGTATATAGTATTTGGCGTAGCATAGTATCGTATTCCAAGTTCAATCTTCAGAGGAACATCCAAACAGAACTGTCTTGCAGCTCAATGTTTTTCTATCTCTTGATAATGGAATTTTATCTTTAGTATCATGTTATTCCAAAATGTTTGTACTAAGTTACATTTAATAAACAAATGCATCATGGACTCAGTTTCTTCTTTGCATAAGGAGCACAAGGAATCATTGGAAATCTTCATTTTTATTAGGACACTTTTTGTTGGCAAAATTCTATTGATCAGTTTTATTTGGAACCACCTGATTCTCTTCTTAATTTTCACTGGCATGGTCTAAATGAAGCTCCATTCCTCTTCTGTTATACTTGTTCTTAATTCCTTGTTCCAATTTTTTTTAAATATTTGTAAGTGATTTCTTGATATTTCTAAGATGTTTTTCAATGGACTTCACACCTTTCCAGAATTCCAAAATTTCCTTAATGAACGTAGGTCTCTTAGGGAAGGTTTGATTTCCATTTTCATTCATATTCCTCCGTCTTGAACCTTTTTTAATAGCTACTATTAAGCTGTTAAATTGGAGGAAATTACTGTGAATGTGAGGGTATCGATATGTGAATTCCTGAAAAGTATAGAATCGGGAACCTTCTTCAGTGAAGAGATCTCTCACTGTTTTAATTCCAACTTGATAACATTTTTCTAGAATACTGGCTGACCCTCCACGCGGAAGAGGGTGTTGCACCAAATCGGGCAGTCTGCTGCTACTTCCACTTGTTCCATGACAGAACTAGAAATTTAGCCCAGGCCTTATTGTTATCAGACCAAAAATTATTCACTGAGAGATTGAAGCAGGCATCCCATGCACCCCCTAGTTGCATCGAGTCGACATCTGGCCCAAGGGGTATTTGCTGCTCTATTAATTTCACCAAAAACTCGGTTTTCAGTAGGGATTTTCTCCACCATGTTACTCTAATGCTATCTATTAGGTCTCTCACATTCATCATTTCCATACCTCCTACTTTCCCCAGTAAAGGGCGGCACCTGTACTCTGACATGTACCAGCGCCGTCTATTAATAGGGTCAATAGTTCATGTACTGGCAGCACCCGTAATGCGTGCGCTATTGAGCACCGAAAGCCTTGACCTCGTACCCGCTTTACCCAGTAACATAGATTCACGAAACTTTTCGGATAACAAGATGTTCCTGCTGGGAAGTTTCTGGTGGGCTTTCGAGGATATGAGCAGAATGGAAACGCTGGTATTCACCGCTACATCTGAGTGATTTTGACATTTCCGCGCTAATTTCAACATTTGACCTCGAATGAACCTCATCAGAGATCAAACACCCATGCGAAAATGTACCTCCATATCTCAGGGCTATTCAGTTAAGAAACGCTCAAGATCGATCCAAAAGTTCCCTCTCGATGGTGACGTCCATATGCCGCGTAAATAATCAATTTTTTTGTGCCGTTTCGCAGCACATCTACTTTACCCCTTGACATAAGCAGCCTATACAAATCTTCTTGAGCGTGAAGATACAATGCTGGTAAGTTTTTACTGCAGTTTCAACCATGTCAACCCCTTAAAAACGCCAGTTTTTAACGGGTTGTTCGGTTGTAAACGTACTTTCAAGTGTAGACGGAATTGACCTTTTTCCGGTATTGTGTGCATTTGACCTCGAATGGTGGTGCTCAGAGGTACGCACAATATAAACCTCCACTACTCAGGAATATTGTCAAATTCTCATTGGGAACGGTTTATAACTATTCTCTTCCAGCTGGGGTCCAAATACCAATAATTTTTACTTTTTTTAACCTCATATCTCACGAACGAGGTCGAGTTCGACCTGGCATCACAACCAGGCGTCATACCCCAAGTAATCGACCCAGTATGGACGCCTGCTTGTAACATTCCCTAGGCTGGTCGTCTAAACGACCTCCATCCATAGGAAGATAATAAAGATAATATTACCATTTCTTCGCTCGAGTTAAGATTCGCTTAGAGGCCCGGAACTAAATATTCTTTAATGAAATCAGCAGTTAATTTGGATTCAAAGAAGCACGTCAATAGGAAGATGGATATTTAAATTTTTCTGCACACCTTCACGCGCCTCCAATATAAATGTGAGACGGACTGCCACAGTTATTACCACGGAAATGATAATTGCCTTGTTATTCGTTCATCTGATGAGTCCTCCCATTTCCTTTTGGCCACCAAAGAAATTAAACCGTCCTCACTCCATCCACCACGTCAGAGTTTCCTGGAAACCCCTTGGACTGGTTTACCTCTTCACAACTATTTATTGAAGAATTCGAACGTCTTCCCTGTGGTGTCTGTGAGGAAAGAGCGGCCCCCGTGCGAGAAGGATTGGAGAGAGATTTCAGCTGACTCAAGTTTTGCCTCGGTTTAGCGGCCACTTTGGCGCCATCTTGCGTCCGTTATGAGAACCTTCCTTCGTTCGAGTAAATGTCAGATGGATAGCGCATCCACGCTGAAAGAAACCGTCTTTTTCATGTTCAAGGAATGTCTTCCAAAAAGTCATGCATTGTAATCGACCAGCACCCAACTGAGAGCCCAAAAGATGCTCATCCTTGGACGTTCGACGTCCTTACCCCACTTTGAAGTAAGGTTGAACGTCCCCCAGAACTTTCTAGCGTTAACTTAGGACAGTCTGACATCATTGAATACGAGGTAAGTGATGAAAATGACGAAAAGTTACGATACGATATTTAAAAAAAAAATTTTTAATAAACGACAAGAAACAACGGGCGAGTGACTGCTGCACGAGTTTATTAGAGGGTGTCGGCATGTTAATTGGTTGTTCGGAGAAATCGGAGGCGAAGTAGCCTGTGCCGAAACAGTGCCGAACTGTGCCGAAACAGAAAAATTTTCTTCAGGCTTTGCCTCCACGGCCACTTTGACGATGACGAAGCACAAGATGGAATTTTTTTTTAGTCTTTGCAGACTTTTTTTTGCAGTACCGTAGAAAAGTGAGCGATTTTCGAAAAAAAAGGAGTGAAATTGGAGTTTGCGATATTATTCCCTAAAGGCGAGGAAGTGCAATCCATAACTACTCCTTTATATGAGCAGAATTCATTCTCTTTTAAGAGCGCGAAGCGAAGGAGGGAAAGTTCTTTTCAAACTAGTAGAAAAAAATAGTGGTTATTCTCAGAAAATAAACAGGTTTGTAGCATTAATTTCTTGCTTTTTTGCGAGTAAAATCACTAACTCCAGTTTCTCTCTCTTTCTCAGAAATCTCTCACTCTTTCTAGGAGTGAATGCATGGCTACCTTCAAAGGTGGGAATACGAACAGGAGACAATACATAGAGGAGACTTCTCTTGCAATTCCTAGATATTCTGTCCAGAAGATTCAAAGCACTGATACCATAAAAGTACCATCACACAAATGGGTGAATATTGGAATATCATCCTTCAAAACGCATGGATTTTCATTTGCATAGACTAGTGCAAATAATTCCCCTTCTTTTGGTAATGTTAATTACTCGCCCTCTTCTGCCGATACAAATGGCTCCTCGATGTAAGGTTCAATCAATCAGTTACATGCTGTAACTGATTGATTGAACCTTACAAACCTTACTACCGGATTGAGCATTACTACCGGAGATGACCCAGGCTTGGTGTCCAGTCATGATTGTATAGAACAGTGACGAAAGCAGAGGAGGGAGGAGCGCTTCGGGCAAGCGACCTACTTCCCTTCAAGTAACCACCCCCCCCCCGTCGTTCAGCTGCCTTAATACTGAGCGCCCCCTCCCCGCTTACAAAACTTCCTGTGCAAGCCATCGGTATGGAGTAGTTTCATTTAAATCAACATTCTCCCAAGAGGGCAATCCCTCCAATTCTATCATATGTAGCGCATGGTACATGATGGTATGGTGTGATGTTCGGCCACGCTCCCCCTCCTACAGTCAACAAAGGTCCAATGTGGAGTGTTGCCTGGGTTCCTGTCTATAACGAATCCCCATCCTCCTAGAGGAGCATTCCACGCCTTCTCAAAAACACAATGGAAGAAATTTAATTGGACTCGGAATTCTATCGGACAAATTGTGCTGCTCATTACATGTATCATGTATCATGGTGACATATGCATTAATGTATAAGCTCCATCATGACCTGAATGTGGCACGATGGTTTCTTTCAGGGGAATACCGACTCCAGGAATTCACATCATCATCGCGTCTTGTTTTGAAACGGGATTCCGGCAGGTGCGGATTTCTCATGCCAGTTTTATCGTTCAGGTAAACTCCTTGGTGAATCATCCGTGTTGCATTCTTTCCTGGTATCCAAGTAACATTTTCTCCAATTTTTCCTGGAGCAATTTGCAGTATCTAAAGATCAGAGTTTTTGCCGTGTGATTTCTAACAAATTTCCAGACTTTACCAATACAGAGTGGACCAAAAGAAATGAATAGGCACTTTAATGACTAATACACAAGAAGAAATGTTAAAAACCAGTTGTGAGCAATTGATTTTGAGACATAAACTCTTTACTAAAGGCAGTGAGAATAATTTAAGAAATTATGGCTTCCTAGTTGTTTTACTTTCTGGTTACTGCAGAATAGACTTGAGATTTAAAAGAATAGATTCCCATGCACTGCACCCTCGTGGGGCCAAAGTAGGGTCTACATTGGATTCCCACATTTGCGATGTGGGTCCCACTGTTGTGGGGGGGGGGGGATGGTTGTTGATTAGGGAAATTACTTTAAAAACGGTTCTCACACTTTTTCATTATTCAGAAGATGAAGACAAGAAAAAAAGACCTGGAACATTTGGCGTAAATTATTTAGAGTATTTTTTAAATAATTTTTTTTTAAACATATGAAATGTTGAGGCATAATTAACAACCCTTAGAAACGGCTGTCTGTTGAAACTATCCTTCACACATTATATATTATCTGGGACATAATTTGGGCATTGAGTCTCCCTAGGTTAATTAAACTCTTATCTGAGCTTACCTTATTCCTACATACCCAATGATAATGAATAATGAATTTGTACTTCTGAATTTTCAGAATGTGTTTGCAACACAAACGAAAACTAAACGTTGTACTGGAGTGCAAAAAAAGGAGGCAATAGTACCCCTTGTGGTGAAAAGCTGCAGTAAGAAATTACTCTGCACAAAACTGAATCGGTCCCCAAGTAGCACATAACATTGAGACAACATGGATTCAATGTTGACTCAACATCCAGATGTTGTATCAACATTGAATCAATGTCGATTCAATGTTACGTACTTCTAGGATCTGAGTCAACTAAAATTCAAAGTAATGAACTTCGTCAGACCTTTATTTCTACTTGAGAGGATATGTGTTTTGCGCCTTTTTGTTAAAATACCTTCTGTCCTCTGAGTAAGAATAAAATTGAGTGAATACATATTTTTGGCTCTAAGATTCTCCAATGAAAATGAAATGAGTGAAGCAAGACAATATAGATCGAACGCAGACTTCCCTTCATCTCATTCATTTTCCAGTTTTGAATTGGAAGGATTTGTGGATGCTACAGTAGCATGCAGAGATTTTGAATGAACCTGGAGACGCCATATGTAGGTGCTGGGAAATTCAAGAAACAAACCAATGATATGGAAGGAAGGCTTTCAATAAACCCTTTTTTTCATATCGTTACCCGCTAGATGTCATAACCGCTATTACGACGAATAATCCTCTGTCACTAAGCTCATGCGAATGCTGTCAATAATTCATTCCACTTTAGCAGCGATTGTAAGGGTCATCCCGCGTCTTGCCATCCGGAGTTCTGAATTTAGAGTGTTTAATCTGTTTAGTCAATTCTTGAGTGTAATATAAACGGACCTGTTGAGGAGTGAGTTTTGGCTTGACCTTTCTTACAAATCAGACTATTTTGGCTTGGAATACATTCATGAGCGTGTTGCCCTTCCGCCTTCCTATGTTTGCCTCATGCTTCACACTGAGCTCATGACTTTCTTACATTCATTCACCATAAGGTTTTCTGCAATGTTTGCTCGCAGGGAGGGCAATTATCAGCGCATGCATCATTCACTTTAGTCCGTATGCTCTTGAATGACTCAAACGGATGAATGGGAGCACCAGCATGTGTCCCCAAGGAAAAAGGCTGCATGTGGGACCCTCCTTTTCCCACGATGGGTAGAGATACTGTTAAGGTTGTGCAGGGGGCTCGGTACTCATGCGAAATTTCCGCCTCAAGTCTGGGATATGCAGTATAACTGAAGTCGCGAGGATCGACCTCAGATCACTTCTTACCTACAAAGGATCTCATAGATTCCTGGAAATATGAAGAGCGGATTCCCTATTACGACTTGGCTCCTCTTTCTCTTCGCTGTTGGGAGTCGCGGATTGAACCTTTGCCCACCATATGACGAAACTTTTCCGTGTTCCTGTATTCCTCACGAGATTGCAGTCGTAAATTTCTTTTGTTTTGATGTGACAGTGCCAGAAATCCTCTACATCTTCAATAATGTCACCTGGCACGTCAAGGAATTACAGTGAGTCCTTTGACATGTAATCAAACTGAAAAAATAATCCGGACAGGTACCGGCGTACCGTATAGTCGTACTGTTTGTAGCATTTTCGTTGGACATTTTCATTTTCCGGCATTTTCAATGATCAGCATACGCACATCTCGTTTCGCTCGAAGAGTAAAACGAGCGAAGTGCGTCCATGGTAATTCTCATTGTAATGATTGCACTCGAGGTATCAAGGTTCAAATACTCACATTTAAGGGACTAAGGTTGCTCCCTCCACAACAGAGATGGGCGGATTTGATTTTTTAATTTTCATGCTTGATGGCCTCCCTGAGCCATGAAAGAATTGCAAATTTCGAAGATCTACAGGGTGTCCCATTTAAGTGGAAACATATGGCAAAACTTACAGTTAAACTATATGCTCTACATCCCACAATTCTTGTCGATGCACGTAAGACGTTCTTTCCATTCATTCTGAACTTCTAAGAAATTTCGCGTTATTTGAGAGCAGAATGTTAAAAAACAACATAATGCAAATGAAAATTTTCTTCTTTGTTTCCTCTTAATTCGGACACCCCATCGATTATTTGGTTTTCAAGATTAAGTCCATCAAGGCCACGATTGCCCAAACCGAGCATTTTCTTTATATTTGCTTTTAAGGAGATCTTTTACCGGCAATGTACCAAAAAAGAGCATAATACTATAGATTGAAAAACTCCACGGAAAAAAATCCTTTCGGATTCTTATTGGACTGTATGGAAACAGATTTTTGAGCCACGATAAACATATAAAATCATATTAGTTACCTATGAGATCGTATAGGCAGTTTATTATATACCTATTGGAATGTTTAGGAATCCAATCGATTTTTCCTGCTTCAAAAACCAAAAGGATTCCTATAGGATCTCTTCCTTCAAGGTTCAAAGAATGAAGCGAACTCCCCATTTTTCTCCAGGGAATCGCATGTAAAGAAAACTTATTCCATTTTGAATGTTTTGATGCAGCAGTTCATATCGGTGATAACTGAAAAAGACCTGCAGAAATTAGGCTGAAACGACTCAATTTCAAACGAGCGATCACGGACGAGAGAACAGGAAATTAAAGCAAAAAATTTTTTGAATTCCTTTTGGTACAAAACTGGTTAAGGTTCGCCTGGAAACTCGCGGGTATAAGCAAAGAAGCAAGGCTTCGGGGCGTAAGAGACTCCGGCAACGTCAATAGAAGACTCGGCAAAACCTCATGCCCTATTCTTGCCCTCAATAATGATTTTTACTCGAATCGAACATTTTCATAGAATAAAAACTTCAACAATTTCGGTTGTTTCGCACTTTGTTCCAGTTTCCTAACAATGAACGCATTAGACATAGCGGAACTTCCAGAGGGTGTGTTTGGGGATGTCTCCTTCCAAGAAATGTGGCTGCAGGATAACAGGCTTCTTACGAGCGTCCATGCCACTGCGCTTCTCCCTTCGAAAAACCGGCTGGTGAAGATTGTTCTGGAAAGGGGATACGTGAATTCCTTCCCGTTCGATATCCTCCCGGAGATGACGGCGCTGAAAGAACTGAAAATGGCCTCTAATTCTTTGACCGAAGTCCCCGTCCTAAGGAGCAACAGCCTGGAAATTCTCGATCTTGCCTACAATCGGATTCGATCCTTGAAAGAAGGAGCCTGGTCCTTGCCAAATCTCGCAACTTTTCTTCTCCGTGAGAGCTTGCCTTCATACTCTGTAAATAAAAAAATGCAACCAAAAGCTCCCAGATTTCGGCAACAATTAGACAGATCTGTTCTTCGTATTTCTATCTGGTACCTCTAATATTCCAAAGGAAAGAAATACATTTCCGAGGTTGCCGTGCACGTAACATTTTCAGTCCAAGATTAAGAATTTCCGATCGTATTTTTTAAATACCTACTATTCCTATAGGGGCCTAAAGAAAAAAGGCAAATATCGCTGTCGCTTTTCTCCTTTTCATTCCGTTGATTTTCTTTTCCCCCATAGATGGAAACGAACTGATGACGCTCCCAGCTGGAATGGTGTCAAACATGGAGAGATTGGTTTTCTTCGAATGTTCGATGAACCACCTGGGGCCTACCCTCCCGAAGGACTCGCTGAATTTTGCCAGCCCCGCCTTGCAATCTGTTAGACTGCATGGCAACAGGATATCAAGCCTGGAACCAGGCGCCATCACTGGTGATGCGTCATTGTTTCCCTCACCTCAAGTCGGCTTCACAGATACTTGAATGAAAAGGGAATGTAAAAAATGCTCTTCATTGATTTCTTTCAAGGTTTGCACGTCAATACTTCCCTGCTCTTCCATGCGAATTTCATCGAAGTACTGGACGAAGCTTCCTTCCGACCAATTGTGGAATCCATTCTGTCGGGGAGTGGATATTTAGAATTGAATGGTCTGTTCACACACAATTCAGTTTTACCCAGGCAGCATTCTAATATTATTGACAGCATAAAAAGTCAAATGAAAAATAATTGCTAGGGAAAACGAAATATCTTTAGCTGAAGCAAAACCCTTTGCTTTAGGACTTAATTAGTATGACGCTTGAAGATTCTCACAATCAGCAGTCTTTGAAAGGTATTCCTGTTACGTATCTCTCTTGCTTTTCCCAAACAGGTAATCCGTTAGCGTGCGATTGTGACCTCGCCTGGCTTGTGATAAACGGAGGACTTCGTTTTGAAGTCACTGGATTTTGTAGGAACGACGAAACTCCAGTGGCAGAATTGGATCCTGAGGAGTACATACAATTCTGCACGTAACCCTATTCATCCCTGCAGACCCGAAAGGCCCCCATTTTAATGAAAATACAATGCCTCTGTATTTCACAGTGTGATGTACATTTTCTGGATCCCCTATGCCCTGGCCACTATCATCACGCCAGGTATGTGCAGTTACACACACGCACAATGTCGGAAGCCATGTGCATTCTCCGCCGAACTGAGGATGAAATTGCAAATGATTGCGAAGTATGAAGCCAACGTTTTTGCGATGACCGACCGGCGGGATATTTTTCTTCCCTGAGAAAATATTCACAAGAAATCCATGGCCAGAAAGCTGTTTCAATTCAGATCCATTTACGATGTAATGATGACTTGAAACCAACTTTGAACCTTCGAAATTCGAAACTCAGACAACTAGGACCATAGATCATTTTGTGATTGTCTCAATTTGTTAAACGCCACCATTTCTTAAGAATGTGGGACAACGTTCGTACTTATCTGGAAAGTGCGATTCGACCTTTGTCTGAGCATACCGAGGGATTGAAGCGGCATGTAGAGATGCCACTTATGCCTGGGATTTATCATTAGTGCAGTTGCAATTTACGTATGTGAACATATTGAGAGATTGTACTTGTCCTGCCAGAGACCAGCCAGACCTCTTCAAGGGGGATGGGGGTTACTAAATCACACCCATGTGAACATATTTGGACTTAATGCAAGACCACAGAACCAGAGAAGATTTGAGCAATATTGGCTCAACGGTGGACCATTCATGAGTACAGTCATAAACTTTTTGTAAATGCTCGTCTCAAATTATTGGTGTGTTTCGCTGAAGCAGGCGGAGGGAGCATCCTCCCCAGATATCCAAAAATCATTGGGCCATGCCTGGCATATTATCTCCTTGGTTCCCAACGATGTCCTAAAGCCGAGAGACGCATCTGCCTGAGGTTGACCAATCTATCATTTTTGCCTATTTTTAAAGAAACCTTACATGATGTGATGGTGTATTTGAGGAGCTGATCCTTCTCCAGAATGTTCGATTCATGGTACATTTCACTTGATGCCTCCTAAATAAAAAATTCCAAGTTCGCAAAAGGGATTATTTTGTAAAGGATTCTTATGGGAAATATGAGCTTCTTTATGGGTTAGGTTCCATGAATCTCTCTCTAATATGGGGACAATAAATGGCCGCTTCGATGATTCCTTTCAAGAGATAAGGCAAAACACATGGTGAGGTACTAAACACTGCTGAGGGACTATTCCAGGGAACGATGGAAAGGTGATTTTGTGCACTTTGCGAAGAGCGAGAACCCCACCTCCATCTAGTAGCCAATATGAGAACTTATGCAATTCACTGAACGTTTTCTGAGCAACCTGAGCTCATTGGATCTTCCCATCTGTACAATTTTGGATCAATAATGCATTAGCAATGTTGGAGTGACGTTGCTTCGCCAACATTGGCATGCCAATTGACTTTGCCCAAGGTGTAGCCCAATGTTGGTCCGGCTTTGGACCAACATATGTTGCTACTGTGTTTGGAGGGGGGGGGGGGGCGATTCCTGATAACTCGAACTTCGGATAACTCAAAACGATTTGCCCGGTCCCTAAAAGTTCGAGTTAACGAGTTTTCACTGTACTTGCATTTAATCAATTAATTCCCAACATCCAGGAAAATTGTCACCATTCACTGCCTCACTGAATTCCAAATAGCTCATAGGCCTATACCATGATTGCATTATCCAATTATAGAGTGCCTTCATTGACTGCATTGATTGCTATACACTGAGCAGCTATAAAGTGAGTTAGGCAATTTAGACAGCTGTCCTGGCCAGAGTTACTCATGGTAATTAGACTTGCTGTGCAGCAGAAAGTATGTTGGGAAGTTGATAACTGCTGGTGGTGCACATTGTTATAAGGAGTACCACCATTCCAAGCATGCAACCTGGATGGTATGATGCAAGGATCACCCCAAAAGTAATACATCAGATTTTGTTTTTTGCAAACTGCTACTGGCAAGATCATAAATGCAGATGCAAAAGCTTCTGAATGTTCTCTCATTCTTTGTAATGTTTCAGGATTCCAAGTCAGAAAGCTTTGCCACTATGATGATTCAAAATCATGGAGTGTGATGGAGTTGTCAGAAGCAATGAGAAGTGAGAGGAGTACCACTGATTGACATTTGTTATCATTTTGATAAGGCTCACAAAACTCACTGAGACTTGTGCATCTCCATATATAACCTCCATACAATGATAAATGTCTATCTATAGTACTCCTTTGCATGAGTTCAATTGCTGCTCTCTGCTTGTGATGGACTTCATCAAACTCCACCATTTTGAATTGCCACAGTGGCATATCTCTCTGACTTGGAATCATGAAATTTTACAAGGGATGGGAAAACATTCAAAAGCAATCTGCATATGCATTTTTTTTACCTTGTGCCACCAGTAGTTTACTATAGATAAAATCAGAGGAATTACTTTTGGGGTGACCCTCATAGATGATCATAAGCCTCCATATCTCAGTCTGCTAATTCTTGTGGAGCCAGTGATACAAGTGGAGCATTATTGCAAAAATGGACTAAATGCAGTGGTAATTACATGAATATACTGAACAACATCTAACTTATGGGAGAAACAGGCTCAGAAAATATATAGAACTATTGCATAAATTTGTGATAACAGGGAACCCTATTAAAGTGATTAAACCAAGACACCACCTGGTGACTCCTTGTAGCTGTTGCACTGTGGCATCAATGTCTGTCACCTCTTTGCTGGTTTTGGGACCATTTTGACTTTGGAGCTCCTGCAACATTTTCTTTCCTCTACAGTTTCCATGTCAGAGTTCTCATGTTTTCTGAGCATGGCCCTTGCCACAACTTGTGCATCATTTGTTCATCTATGACTGAGGTCGGAAGGTTTATCCTCATCTTTCCTACCATCCAGCTTTTGTCCATTGGTGCCTGGAAGAACCACATGCACTACCCATGGCCACCAACTTCCCTTGACCATTTTATGCTGCCCAGCTAGTTTCATTACCATAAGTTCATTCCTCTACCCAAAATAGCTGTGTGAAGTACCCAAGTTATTTCATAATCACCCTTTGCATAAACATTTTTTTATATGCTACGTATTTGCATATGTATTGGCATATGTAACCATTCTTTACAGCTCCTCCCCTTGAGGGTTTACATTCCTTGATTTTGCTAACTTTAATTTTAGGGATTAACTTTCAAGGTCGTTTCCTTGAAAAAGAGCTCAGCACTGATACCTGCATATTTTTAAAGGAAGCACATGGATTTAATGAGGATGATCTAAAATGACTTTGTACAAGGATCTGTAACACCTTCATTGTGGAAAGATGTCTGCATAGAGTTACTTTTTCTCATCAGTTGATTTGATAGCATTGCTGCGATGTTGAGATTTTTGTCAAGACAAAAAGCTTACCAGAAACATATTGTCTTCTTTTTTTCATACATACTGTCAGAGTTACTCAGGCATATATCAAAGACACAATGACAATTTGGCAATTAAGTATTGCCTTACCTGTATCTAAAGTCTACATTGATTAATAAAAAGTGCATTTCTACCACCATTTTCCAGAACTTGCACTGGGACACAATGACTTTGAGCTGGAGCTTACTTAGCCTGACATTGACTGGTCATGCCCATATTGATTGATTGAAATGTGTGCTCATGTATGTGAAATATTCCCCTCTGAGCAGAAGAGGGAATCAGCGCTAAAAGGAAATGTGAGCATCTCTATGTTGCAAAGGAAGGTATGATCCATTGCATTCCAAAAATTGTGATGTGTTCTCTTTCATAATTTTCAATATTTTCTTGCATCAAATGCTTTTCACTTAAAAAAAAAAAGAATTCATACTGGGTGGTCCAAGAAATCATGGACTCCAATGCAAAACATCAAAATATCCAATACTGTGGGATTAATTTAATGAGAGTGTGTCGGTGTCTTAAAAGCGTGTATGTACTTGAACAGCAATGCTACTTGTCAACCAAGTTTGATTTAGTCTGAGCCAAATTTTCCATAATTAAAGCAAATTTTCAAGGAAGTCTTTTTGTTCACTGCTCTTCACAACTCACCTGATGATACTGTGCTAATTTCAACTTAATTCAAGAGTTCCTGTGATCTTTGTTATGCTGGATGTTGTGATTTTCACTCCAAGTCACCTCTTTGTACACATCGACACCTCCTTCCTCACACATGATAATCCACTGAATTGAAGTCAGATGAAGTGTCAGGTTGCAATAATTCAGGACAAATGCATTCTTGACTTATTGTGACCTGACATGTGGTTTTCAAATTCATCTGACTTCAATCTGGTGGATTCTTAGAAGGAATGTGTCTATGTATGTATGAACATGTCTTTTGTGATGGAAATCACCTCATCCAGTGTATCCAAGAAGACTTGGAACTCCTGAATGAAACTGAAAGGAACACAGCAATTGATCAGTTCGAATGGTGAGTTTCGACATGCATCGAGAATGATGGGGTCACTTTGAAAATGACTCAGAATTTGGTAACGTGTGCCATTGCTGTTAATTTAGATACACTTGTAATGAAATTTTATTTCACCTAACGGTATCGGACATTTTATTGCTTGCTTTGGATCCACAATTTTTTTTGGACCATGCTGTTTTATTCATTGGAGGAAAATGGTAAAAGGGAAAAAGTTTTTGCTGTATTTTTGTGCTTGCTGAATTTGGTGGTGTCTTTTCTGTTGCTTTATGCAACCATCTGTTTCGTAATCATGTCTGATATCCAGCAGCTGCTCAGGCATCTCAGCAGCTGATGAAAGCCAATGGCAGCACCCTTGCTGTAGAAATTAGGGAAGGACTTGAATTGACCTAATGGCAAACATATTCTCACAGTGAAGTCAAAGAATGAAGTCCAATCATGCCACACTCCAAAGACCAGTTCAGTTACATTTCCTCTATCGATGGATCAGTACTTAATTTCTAGGAAAAGGTATACTAGAGCTTGCCGTATGCATACCGTACGTGAATGGGGAATCCAAGGGGCAAGCCTCCCGGGAATAATTTTTGTGCGATATATTTGACAAAAATCGTTGCACATA